GTGCGACAAGGTTGTATCCTTTCACCATACTTATTCATCCTGCATGCTGAGCAAATCATCTGAGAAGCTGGGTTATATGAAGAAAAACATGGCATCAGGATTGGAGGAAGACTCATTAACAACCTGAGATATGCAGATGTTACAACCTTGCTTGTTCAAAGTGAAGAGGACTTGAAATACTTACTGATTAAGATCAAAGAGCACAGCCTTCAGTAGGGATTGCATCTCAATGTAACGAAAACAAAAATCCTCACCACTGGACCAATAAACAACATTGTTATCAACGGAGAAAAGACTGAAGTTATCAAGGACTTCATTCTTCTTGGATCAACCATCAACACTCATGGAAGCAGCAGTCAAGAAATGAAATGACATATTGCATTAGGCAAATCTGGTACACAAGACCTTTTTAAAATGTTGAAGAGCAAAGATGTCAGCTTGAGGACTAAGGTGCACCTGACCCAAGCCATGGTATTTTCAATCACCTCATACTCATGCAAAAGCTGGACAGTGAATAAGGTAGAAGAATTGATGAATTTGAGTTATGATGTTGCAAGAGAATATTGAAAGTGCCATGGGCTGCCAAAAGAACCAACAGATCTGTCTTGGAAGAAGTGCAGCCAGAGTGTTCCTTGGAGGCCAGGATGGACAAACTTTATCTCTCATACTTTGGACATATTGTCAGGAGGGACTAGTCGCTGGAGAAGGATATCATATTGGTAAGGTGGAGGGTCAGAGAAAAAGAGGAACAACCTCAGCGAGATGGATTGGCAAAGTGGCAGCATCAATGGGTTCAAGTGTGGCAACCATTGTGAGGTTGGCCCAGGACTGGGCAGAGTTTCGTTCTGTTGTGCATAAGATCACTTTGAGTTGGTACAGACTCGATGGCACCTAACTACAACAACATACTTCTTTACATACATATCTTTCTCATACTGGGCTTATTACAGACTATACATTTCCACAGGGATATTTTTGTTCATCTTTTATCTTTCTCACAGCATCTGGCTTAAAGTGCCTTATTCATAGCAATGTAGCACCATTGAATTGAATTACAATTTTGAAATCTCATCCCCAAATCCATAAACATGGGGAATCACCACTCTCTTTGATAAATAAAAATACATGGTTATTACTTAGAGCTTAAGTAGAGTAATTTTCCCAGGAATGACAAAAACAAACAAACAAACAAAAAATCAAACCAACTACTGCTGATTCTGTCTCACAGGAACCCTATAGGGCAGAGTAGTAGTGCCCCATAGGATTTTCAAGGCTGATACCGTTAGGGATGCAGACTACCAGACTTTTCTCACATGGAGCAGCTAGTGGATTTGAACCACCAACCTTCCAGCTAACAACCAAGTGCATTAACCACCATGGCCCCAGGACTACCCAGTTCTTTAAGCTATTATTCAGGGATAAAATAGCTAGAAATGCTGATGAACACAGCACCTTCCCAGTAGAGGCACACAAGCCTCACAGTGCAATGGAATCACCTGGGAAATCTATTGAAAACAAAACGACGAAGACACTGATGCCTGGGCCCAACCCGCTGAGCTCTGCACTTAATTAGTTTGATGAGGACTCTGGCAACCCTAGTTCTTAAAAGTTCCCCATGTGATTCTAATATGAGGCCAGCGAGGAGGAGTGTGGTAAGGAGAAAGCATTTTGCCACAGGAAGGACAAAGATTTGGGACAGAAACACTAGGCTTTTTGCCCAGACTCTGGCTGGGTCATTAATTTTCCCGTGTGTCTCTATATTCTCAAAGGAAAAATGAGATCTAACAAGGCTGTTGGAAAGACAGAACAAGAAAAATGGCTGTGAATCAATGCATGCTCATTAAGAATTATGCAAATATTTATTTAGTAACACCACTGGAAGCTTTCATCTTTTAGGCCTGGCTCTTAATATACAATCCCACACAGAGAATGACTGTCATTGTTAAGTGCTGACGAGTCAGTTCGGACCCATAGTCAGGTCTGACTGTAAAGGGTTTCCAAGGCTGTACAGCAGCAGGCTTTGCAGCAGAAGAAAGCCTCATCTTTCTCCCTTGGAGCGGCTGGTGGGCTTGGGCTGCTGATCTCATGTTCGCAGTCCAGTGCCTATCCTGTAAAGCCACTGTGCTTCTGATACAGAATGATTAACAAGAGCTACATGAAAACTTACACGTTCATGTTAACAAATCCACAAATGGAATCGTAGAAGCAATTAGAAAGCAGATGGTGATGCCCGTTTAATGGGAAATGGTCCTAAAGAGAAGGAATAGCACAACCTTAGAGTAAAGGCCCTTCATTAACTCTCATTTTTAGTTAATTACTATGTTCACAAAGTAATCAAAATGAGTATCTAATCAATCTCAATCTCCTTGTTCAAGCAGGCTAGAAATTCTGTGCCAGAAGTAATTTAGCACCCGAGACTTTCATCATCTGATAAAATTTGTCCTTTTGCTGAAGGACTCTTGGCAAGAGCTTTGGATCCTAAATTAACTCCTACAGAAGCTAAAATAGGACTCCTGGTATGGCACTGTAGGATCAGCATTGGACTGTGAACCAAGGTCATCGTCAGTTCAAACCCTCCAGTTGCTCCTCAGAAATCCTATATAGGGACATGATGACAGAAACTTACTTGATGGCACTTAACAACAACAAAAGCTAAAATACTCGATTCCTTCAAGAAAGACATCTCCAACACTTAATTCATTGATTTTTAAATATAAACTCATAATAAAATAATGAATTAACCTATCATGATAGATAATAAACTGAAGGTCAAAGCAGCGTCTGGACCAAACTTTAATAAATAAGTCTCGTCAAAAGAAAGTAATATTTCCCAATAAGAAACACTTTTATGCTCCTCAGAATTTTATTAAGTGCCATTAAGTCAGTTCCGACTCATAGTGACCCTGTATAGGGTTTCCAAGGAGGGGCTAGGGGATTTGAACTGTTGACCTTGTGTTTACTAGTCCAGTGCTTATCCTACAGCACCACACCATAGGGACTAAAACAATCCCCTAAATATTTTAATCAATTTTCTGAAATTACTATTTCCAACAATATGGGCTATCCTTTATAGCATGGAAGCACTCTCGGAAGCAACGTATTGTCCTCTGTCACTTTCTGTTAATGAAGATCCCCACCTCCCCCATCTCCATCATCCCCCCACTAGAACACCTGCTGTAGGAACAGGTGGCACTGAGCTCAGAGAAGATAATATTTTCAGGGGTTCTTCACATTCAAAACCAGGAGGAAAAATGCAAACAGCTACCTGAAAAGAACTGACTTTGACCAGTTTGGGACAACACTAATCATACAAGATTTCCCAACTAAGGACGCTGAGACACGCACTATGAATTCTATTCCTTCTTTTCAGTGACTGAGTCTTTAAGGCGGAAAGGCCCTTATAATGAGCATCCAGGCCATACTTCTTAATTCATGAGGTCAACTGGGTAGATGATTTGTCTATTGCCCATGGAAATATCTGAGGCAGGACTTGAACTCAAATTTTCTAGCTCCATGTCCATTACCCCACATTACCTCAGTAATCTCTCATCACACATTTTTAGTGCCAGAACAGTTTCTGGGCATAGCCAGAGGGCAATCATTGTCCAATGATGGGTTGTGTGTATATGTTTGTGTGTGCTCAAACACATATGATCATTACGAAGATCATAAAGTTAATTAGCCTCCGTTTCAATCTGTCCATCCCACCCCCTGGCAAGCCCCCATGCTGACTCAGTTCCACCACCTGCCTTTCCCTTTTCCAGCCCCAGGCACAGGTGGTGTTGGTGATCAGAGAGCAGTGTTGACTTGTTGTTAATTAAGTGCCACTGAGTCAGTTCCAACTCACAGCGACCCTGTATAGGGTTTCTGAGGAGTGGCTGGTGAGCTTGGACCACCGACCTTGCAGTTCAAACTCACTTTACAGTCCAGCGACCAGGACTCTAATGCCACCGAAATTCATGTCCTCCAAACTCAATGCTGCTCAAAAAAGCTTTGATCTTCTTTCTTCCTGAATTCTCTAATAATCTCTGTACTGGTCTTTTCGTTTCCATGCTTATTTCTTTCCAAAGTATTTTCCATATAGCAGCCAGAGCTGTCTCTTTAAACTGATACAACCATGTCATTTCATTGCTTACAACCCTGCTGTGAGTAAAATCAAAACTCATATCACGTCTAAAATGTCCTGCATGTTCCAGCCTAGTTCTTCCTCTCTAACCTCATCTCAGGCTGTTCTTGGCTTAGTATGTGCCGACCATACTAGTCTCTCTCCAGCTTCTCACACATGCCAGGCTTCTCTTTCTGGCCCCAGACTTTCTGCATTTGCTATTTCCCTCTGTCTGGAACCTCCTCTCCTTTCTGCTTCCTTACGTCTCATTCTAGGATACCTTTCAAAAAGACCATTCTAGTGAAACATCTACCAAAACTCACCAAATATTACCATTTCACCCAAACCAATGGATGTCTATTATCTTTATCTTACTGGATCTTCTCTGTCATGAGACCTGTTTTAAAACTACTTCTTTGGCTTTGATTTTACTACGCACTCAAAATATTTTTTTATTTCTTTTAGAGTTCCTTCTTGGATTCTATCCTTGGCCCTAAGTTCTTTTCTGTATAAGACCCTCCTTGGACAATCTTATGGTCTCAAGTCTAATAGAATGATGATGATGACCAACTTAGCTCAGCCCCTGAGGTAGACCTGATTATCCATCTGCCTGCCGGTAGTCTTAAACTCAAGATGTTCACAACTAAACTCTTATATCTTCACCACTAAACCATCTCCTCATTGTCAGTTCACAGAGGCACCCTCAGCCCAAACAGGAAAACTGGGAATCATCTGCACTCTCCCCCCTCTGTACCCATTCTCATTTTCCCCTCCTTTTGGATTTGGTACTAGAGATGAATCAATCATAATTCATGACATTATCATTGTGTTAGGCACTTTGCAATAGCCATTTGTTCCCAGGATTCCTTTTCTTCCTTCAGGTAAGGCTGCCTACCTTTCCTTCTTTGAAATGCTTCTTCAGTTGTTTCTGCATGGCGGTCAGCTTCTTGGATTGCACCCCACTGTAGGCCAACAGCATGCCACCAAACTGCCTCTCAGTAATTCTCCCATCCACAGGGTCATTGCGTTCAAACTGGAAGGGAAACCAAAAGAATATTCCTAGAGTCAAACAGAAAATATTTTGCTGTGGAAAGTGTATTTGTCAACTGTTTTGGATAACAGAAAACAGTTGGGGTCTGGAACTATATGTTTGAACTATAGTTTTCAGTAAGATCCAAACAAATTATTCATACTAGAAACAGAAGATCCAGGTTCTCATCCCAGTTTTGCCACTCACTAACTACTTATAAAGGAGCTCTGGTAGCGTAGTGGTTACGAATCGGGCTGTGAACCACAAAGTCAGCAGTTCAAAACTACCAGCTGCTCCGCAGGAGAAAGATGAGGCTTTCTGCTCCCATAAAGATTTACAGCCTCGAAAACCTGTTCAGGGTCGCTATGGGTCGGAACTGACTTGATCGCACTTAACAATAACAACAACAACAACTACTTATAACTTCAAGAAAGTCAGACAATTACTTTGGGTCTCAATTTGCTCAGGGGTAAAACATAGCTGTGCAGCATCTCATCTACCTCATAGCTCATAATCATCCTTGTAGGAATTAAAAACAATTCACAAACGCCATACACATTAATGCCTTTATAACTAACAAATGCTCTCTGCCTGCATCATCTATGGTCCTGCTCTTCAGGGAAGAATCAAAAGTTAATTATTATAAATTTGGTCAATTATGGACATTTTAAGTCCTGGTGTGGTGCTGCGGGTTAATGCACTGGGCTGCAAGGCCAGTTTGAACCTCAAGGTCAGTGGTTCAAGCTTACCATCTGCTCCTCAGAAACCCCATCCAGGGTCGCTATGAATCAGAACCAACTCGACAGCACTTAACAACAAAAGTCCTATCAGTTCATCTATCTGTACTTGTTAATATTGCTAAACACTCACCAGACTGTAAGGACTTCAAAGAAGAGTAATGCATTTTCAAGTTTTCCCCAAAGCAGTAACCAACAGGCTAAGACTTCAATTTGTTGTTGTTATGTACCGTGGAGTCAATTCCAACACATAGTGACCCTGTGCAGGGTTTCTGAGGCTGTAAATCTTTATGGGAGCAGAAAGCCTCATCTTTCTCCCATGGAACTGCTGACAGTTTCAAACTGCTGACCATGAGATTAGCAGCCTGACTCGTAACCACTATGCTACCAGAGCTCCAATGTTGTTGTTATGTACCGTGGAGTTGGTTCCGACTCATAGAGACCCTGTACAGGGTTTCCAAGGCTGTAAATCTTTATGAGAGCAGAAAGTCTCCTCTTTCTCCCGCAGAACAGCTGGTAGTTTTGAACTGCTGGCCCTGACGTTAGCAGCCCGATTCGTAACCACTACGCTACCTGAGCTCCTTAGAGCTCCAATAGAGCTTGGGAAAAACCCCACAAGCAGTGTAGAAGAATGCCTTACTTACCACAAAGCTTTGAGACAGCAGTAAATACATTTAAATATGCAGATGGGAAGGTTAAGTATAAAGGACCTCTCAGTAATCTAAGTGATTAGCAGGAAATTTAGATTTTCATTTGGTAATGAAGAGAGACAAAGTTCTCTCTGTCCCCAATGCAATGTTAATGACACTTATGAATGCATAAGCAATAAAAGGGCTAAAGATGTACTCAGATACTAATTGGGAAGCAAAACAATTTGATGTTGGTAAGATTGCTGGGATTTTATTGGAATATAATGGGTGCCAGGAAACTTTCAGATGCCTCTGTGGCAGGGAAGAATCCTGTTCGCATAAAGGGGTATACATTGATATGTTGTTGTTGTTAAGTGAAGCTCTGACTCACAGTGACCCGATGCCCAGCAGAATGAAACACTGTCTGGTCCTGTGCCATCCTCACAATAGGTGGCATGTTGGAGCCCATCGTTGGAGTCACAGTTTTGATCCTTCCTCTTTTTCACTGAGCCTCTACTTTACCTAACATGAGGTCCTTTTCCAGGAACTGAAAGTAAGGTAGCTAAGTTAGGCCATGTCAATGAGCATTTCTTGAATGTCTCCAAGTTGCCTAGCACTGTGTTAGTCATTGTGGGACACACACGAGAAGGAGACATTCAGTTTCTGTCCTCTGGACCGTACCATCTAGTCAGTATGCAGATAAAACTTACATGTGAGACACAAAATAAGAAAGTGTATAGTCAAGAGTTCAATTCCCATTTAATTCTCGCTTCCTCAGTTAGCTGACTATGTTGACATACACCTTCATCTATTTCCTTACTGGGGAGACTGCATACATGAGAAGACACAAGAACTATTTTTTAATAGTAGCAACCACATGCTGAGTATGTATGATGGGCTGGGTACTTTACTCATATATTTTTAAATTTATCTTTGATTCCATAGAGTAGGACTCCTGGTGTGGTGCTGTAGGGTCTGCAATGGACTGCAAACCACAAAGTCAGCACTTCCTTGGAAACCCTATACAGAGTAGCGATGAGTCAGAACTGACTCGACAGCACACAACAATAAAATAGAGCAGAAGGAGCCCTGGTGGTTCAGTGGGAGAAGCACTGAGCTGCTAAGCACAAGGTTACCAGATCAAGCCCACCAGCTGCCCCATGGGAGAAAGATAAGGCTATTTGCTCCAGTAAAGATTTATGGTTTCAGAAACTCTATGGCACAGTCTATTCCGTATTATATGGTTGCTATGATTTGGAACTGACTTAATGGCAGTGTGGGTAGTGGGTCTATGGAGCAGCTGTTAAATAGCTTCATTTTATAGATGAGAAAACTGAGGCAACATGCAAAGTAGTAGAGCTGGGATTCAAAGTCAGTTCTATGGGTCCAATGATTATTGCTTTCTTCATCTAAGCAGTAGTGCATTTGGATACTACAGGTCAGTACTATGTGTTTAGTTAGTTCAGTCATTTTTAAGTGAGAACCAAAACGATTTCCAAAGAAATCAACATCATCAGTATTAGGTAAAGGTCTCTTTTTCAAGCCAACCACTCAATATTTCAGGTTTGTCATACCATCACTTCCCCAAGGTGCTGATTAATTTTGACAAAACCAGTTTCCAAGATTCAATTTGTTTGATTTATGGTTCAATTTACCATTTGGAAACAAAATGGAGGACTGATGAAATTTTGCAAATGGGCATGAGATTTTCAGCACAAAGTGGCACTTGGGCCTAAACTAGAGACACATAGTTGTGTAGGTCTTCTTTAAGGCAAGTGAGACACAAGTGTGGTCCCTGCTCTCTGGGTCAGGGTTCTACAATTGAGAGCACTTCATGAGACTCTTTTCTGGGAGCATACACAGCTGTGGGGAAATCCCATCTGTTTGAATGATAGGAGCTTTAAGCTGCATCCCTTAAGATGGATTCATGGCTGAGGTATTTCTTGCTCATTAATTTTGACAGCAGCTGCAATGTGCTTAAGTCTGATGAGAGGTCCTGATTTCTCTGTTCCCCTTGAGGACCTAAAGCCTCACTTCTGTTACACTTCACATTCAGTAAAGACCATTTCTTCAGTGGAGCTCCCCAGGCAACAATCCCAATGCTCAAATTTGCATTTCTATTCGTTATTTCAAAACTCAGACTGGTTTCTGGTAATGGGTTCTTTCATCTATTATTATGTTAAAAAAAATGGTTGAACTGCACAGGGATAAAAAACGAAAGAATCCAGATGTCCATGCCGTATGTTGTTGTTAAGTGCTGTCAAGGTGGTTCTGACTCATAGTGACCCTGTACAGGGTTTCCAAGGAGCAGCTGGTGAGTTTGAACCACCAATCGTGAGGTCCAGCCCCTTATCCCACAGCGCCACACCAGGACTCTTCCATGACTGCTCCAGGCCTTTTCAGAGATTTAAAAGCTGCATAAGCCACAAGTAAAGGTGACTGTGATGACAAGTTATGAGTTCAATCTTTTCAAAATGAGGGCAAATTTGCATAATATTTAAGGGCAAGTAGCAGGAGTTGTGGGGTCCTGGTTTGGGTAATGCACTGGACTGCAAGATTGTTCTAAACCACAAAGTTGGCATTTCAGGCTCACCAGCCACTCCTCGGAAACCCTATAGAGTCCCTATGAGTTGGAACCAACTCGCTGGCACTTACCAACAACAAAGAGGAGTACTGGTGTGGTACTGTAGGATCAGCACTGGACTGTGAACCACAAAGTAAGTCAGCAATTCAAATCCATCAGTTGCTCCTTGAAAGTCCTATATAGGGTCGCTATGAGTCGGAACCAACTCGAAGGCACTTAACAACAAGGAGGAGGAGTCCTGATGTAGTGCTGTAGTCCCGGTGTGGAGTTGTAGGATAAGCACTCCACCATAAGGTTGGTTTGAAGCACAAGGTCAGCAGTTCAGGTTCACCAGCCGCCCCTTGGAAACCCATCCAGTGTCGCTATGAGTCAGAACCGACTCCACGGTATTTAACAACAACAGGAGTCAGAATCAACTTGGCAGCACTTAACAACAGGAATTGTCTGTAAGTCTCTAAGTTGTATGCAAAACCAGGGTCTGTCAGTACTTTTTCTGTAATTTGGTTTGGGGCAGCAACTCTCCTTTTAGGTTTTTAGGCTCTTCTGAGGCAAGCTTGTCTTTTTTTCAGAGGTCTTAAAAGATTTCTGGAGGTGGCAAGGGGAAGTTGTTTCTCTTAAAGGCAGTAGCTAGACACCATCCATGTAGCCCTGGAAGGTGAAGTGTGTATCTTCAGTCCAGACAATCCTGTGGGTAGATTATTCCCTGAGTGTCGTACCCCAGTCACACAAGAAATGAGTGAGAAATGGGGCTCATGGGAAGGGGTCTCTGGGGAAAGACAAAGGTTATTACAAAATTATCACAATGTAAAAAGCTTCTAATTGTATAATTGGAAGCAATTCAAATCATTAACTTGTATTTAACTTAACCAAAACATTGATCGAGGAGTCCTGGTGTGGCGCTATGGGCTAATGCATCAGACTGCAAAGTTGTTTGAACTGCAAGGTCAGTGGTTCAAGCTCACCAGCTGCTCCTTGGGAACCCTATATCAGGTCACTATGGGTCAGAATCGACTGGACAGACACTTAACAACAACAACAACAACAACAAAACAT